AAGTAGTTCTGGAATCGGGGAGGGGATCACTAAACTCTTCTCTATATTAGGGGCCAATGTTGTGGTCACCGGTAGGAAAGAGTCTGAAGTCCAGAGAGTTGCCAAAGAAGTGCAGGAATTGTCGCCAAAGAAACTAAAAGTTTGTAAACTTAAAACCTGTAATTAATTTCAATGTAACATAACATTTATACTGAACAGCCATTAGAAGTGGTCGGAGATCTCACCAAAACTGAATTCATCAACACTTTGATCGCAAATACTATTAAAACGTTTGGAAAGTTAGATGTTTTGGTGAACAACGCCGGTATATATCCGACGACAAACATCACCCAAAAAGACTTAATGCAAGTCTGGGATCAGGTCTTCGCCATAGACTTGAGAGCAGTCGTCGAACTAATCCACGAATCGGTTCCACATTTGGAGAAAACTAACGGAACTATCATTGATATCTCGGGTAATGGCGCCATTTCACCGGTATAATTGTTACTTATTTTTGTTATATATGATAATTATAATCATTGAAATTTATATAATATTTCATAGTATATCCATACCTTAACCTTTGCAACGGCAAAAGCCGGCTTAGATATGATGACTCGAATACTGGCCCTCGAATTGGGACCCAAAGGCATTCGTGTCAACACTTTGAGGTAAAAAATAATTTATAGTTATTTTTGTTTAATTTGTTATTATTATTATAATTTATTAATTAATAGCCCGGGACCTACACAAACGACAGATAAGGTGGATCCTCTGCTAAAGAAAATAACACCATTGCATAGAGTGGGACAACCATTAGGACAAATATTAGATGTCGCCAAAGGAGTGGTATTCCTGGCCTCAAGTGATGCCTCATTCATAACCGGCGCTACTCTGGTGGTCGATGGCGGGGAGGTCTATAATATTGGAGCATTTAACATTCTATAAATCTATTTGTTCTGGTATATATTTATTTTGAAAAAGATTTATTAAAAATATGTTTTGAATTTTTATTTGTTGATTATTATTAATTATCGATATAATTCAAAGTTTGAATTTCAAACCTAAATTATTTATAAATATATTAAGTTTTTATTCAATTAGTTTACACTAACTTTTAAATGATTTCTTGGTATAATAACTACAGTATATTCAATCAAATAATGTTTTTTATTTGTTTGCAAAATTATTATTATTATATAACCCAACTACTAATAATAAACTAATCTTAAAACTATGAATTAATAAATATAACGTTATAAAGTTATAAGGGCCAAAGCTATGAATATGGGCAAACATTATCCCCAAATTGTCAACAAATCACATTAATGTACATTGCCTTACAAATTATAGTTTTAAAATAATCAAATAGAAAATAAAATTAGAATTTATTAACTTTTAATTAATGATCATATTAAATGTATTTATTAAATTAGTATTAATAAATAAAGATTAATGTCAATTTGATTAGTTAATTAACATTTGTTATTAATTACCTAAATATTGCTTCATTTCAACCCCAATGTTCAAGGTGTATTGAATGTAGTGCACTAATATGAGATGATATGATACAAACTTGATAATTAGTCTAGACAACTTAAAGGTTATCTACACTAAAGATGCAGTACATAATGAAATCTGATTATGTTTATTATTTCATATTAGTGTTGCAATTTAATTGGTTAATTAACTATTAATTAAGTGTAACATAACGGACATTGGTAAAAGTTTGAACAGTGGTTAATAAGGTTTGAGTGATTAGTGATTAATAAATACAACAAAAAATTATTACAAATTAAATAAATTTAAAAACTCATTCAATTAATTCAAATATCAATAAATAAAAATGTTGAGATTTATTTTATATGTCAATAAAAAATACAATAATTGTCTTAAAATAATTTATTTTCGTATTAATCAATACCACATTGTAAGATACTTTTATCGGTATTTTCATTTCAAGATAAATATTGATTATTTTTACAAGTTATAAAATAATAGTATGGGATAATAGATTACTACTACACTTTAATTTAATTTAAATGTGAAGGTTATCTACACTAAAAATGCACCAGTTCATAACATTTTGTATATAAGGGAGTATTTAACAATTTTATGTTTAAGTATTAAAAGTTCTGAAAATAATATAGCTGAGTTTATTATTGTATTCATTTTAAAAATGAAATTAATAGTATTATTGGCATTGATTTCAATAGTTTGTGCGGATTTTGATATCAAAGACTATAAAGATGTGATAAATTCACGAAACTTTACGGGAAAAGTAGTTTTGGTGNTATTGGCATTGATTTCAATAGTTTGTGCGGATTTTGATATCAAAGACTATAAAGATGTGATAAATTCACGAAACTTTACGGGAAAAGTAGTTTTGGTGACCGGAAGTAGTTCTGGAATCGGGGAGGGGATCACTAAACTCTTCTCTATATTAGGGGCCAATGTTGTGGTCACCGGTAGGAAAGAAGCGGATGTCCAGAGAGTTTCCAAAGAGGTTCAGGAATTATCACCAAAGAAACTAAAGGTTTGAAAACATAAAACCTGTAATTAATTTGAATGTAATATAATATTAATTTGATTTATACTGAACAGCCATTAGAAGTGGTCGGAGATCTCACCAAAACTGAAGACATCAACACTTTGATCTCAAATACTATCAAAACATTTGGAAAATTAGATGTTTTGGTGAACAACGCCGGTATAATGACGCCCACAAACATCACTCAAACAGACTTAATTCAAGTTTGGGATCAGATCTTCGCCGTAGACTTGAGGGCAGTCGTCGAACTGATCCACGAATCGGTTCCACATTTGGAGAAAACTAACGGAACTATTATTCAAATCTCGAGTAATTTAGGCATAGCTCCGGTATGAAAGATATTTTATTTTTATATTTTACTGCAATTAAGTTATGATTATTTTCATAATTATCAATACAATCCTATTAACAGTACAAACCAAGCCTGGCCTACGGGACGGCAAAAGCGGCCTTAGATATGATGACTCGAGTACTGGCCCTTGAATTGGGACCCAAAGGCATTCGTGTCAATACATTGAAGTAATTTAATAATTTAAAATTATATTTCGTTATAATTATATTTTTTTAGTTAAAAATTATCTCATTTTAAATATAATACTCTGTAGTCCGGGCTCAACACAAACCACTGATAAGGTGGACCCTACATATGAAAAGGCAAAGGGTTTCACACCACTTAAACGATTAGGACAACCATTAGATATGGCGAAAGGGGTGGCATTCCTGGCCTCAAGTGATGCCTCATTCATAACCGGCGCTAATCTGGTGGTCGACGGCGGACTTGTCTATAATATCGGCGCTTTTAATACTTTATAATTTATCAATAATTTATAACAATTTTAAGAAATTATGAGATAAAACATAATTTGAGTATTAAGTCGTTTAATACACAAATGTTTGAGTTATCCTTCAAACGTTTTGCTAACACTTAATTCATTACTACTTTCATAACAACGAGATATTCAATGAATTAATGATTATTTTTAAATTATTTGTTTGGCCGAAAGTCATTAAATAAAGTAAACTTTTAACGCAAACACATAAACATTCAATTCAAATAAATCTATAAATTTTGGTTTATAAATGGTTTTAAAAATATAATTCACACAAAAACCACAAAAACATGGACTTCGATGTCGAATACGAAAGGTATGTTCCGAAGAGTTTCCCCAAAGACTTGATCCAACAGGCCGTCAATTATAAGCCTATGGATAACGACGTGTTTATCGTCTCGTATCCCAAATGTGGCACAACTTGGACTCAACAGATCCTATACCTACTGCTCAACGATGGTGTTCCGCCTAATAAGACAATCCTAT